ATTCAATAAATTAAAAAGTAATTTAAAAAATACTAAAAATATAAATGAAATTATAAAAATTATGAATAAGGAGAAAAACAACGAACGTTTTTAGTGTATTGTGACCCCGTATGTTATGGTCCTATTGAGAGTGAAATATATTTAACATACCAATATGTACGTAATATATTCGAAATAATATTACATGTTGCTTACTTAACATAATATGTGCTAATAAGGAGACATAATATTAATTTATTATTTATAAACATTTACCAAAAACATTAGTAATTCAAAATCATGTAGGATATACTTTAAAAACATAAAAAAAATTAGAGTTCAGATAACAGGAAAGTAAAAAATTTTATTAATTCTTGATATATATGCAAATATAATTCTTAAATCATTCATAATTACGGAACGTAATTAATAGAGAACATTTTCTTATATATATTAATTTAAGGTACAAAGGAGATAAATTTCACATAGGTTTATGTTTTTATGGTTGAACTAGAATATATAAAAAGAGACATGGATGTATTATTTTAAAAGTATTATGGAATAATAAATCCAATCCTTAGTCTTCCAACTTAAGAGATAATGTATAAATTACAGCTACATTCTGAGAAATATTATTGTTATCATTTAGCTTTTAATTATGTAAAAAAAAAAAAATAATACAATATTACAATTATTAGTATCACGCAAAAATACTTATTAAAATATATTTTATATACACACTCCTTTTATTAATTCTTTATTTTTCTTAATATTATTTTAAAAATATTAACATATATAATGTCTGTGTATGTTCTTTACAGTTAGTAATTTTGTTTAAGACCTCTGTATCATATTTATTCATAAGATGAATAAAATATTTTAGAAAAAATCTTATATTTATGATTTTTTATGTTCTACAAAATTAGATATATTTATATTTAAATTAAAATATGTTAATGCTTTTTTATTAGATAGATAATTAATGAATAAACCAAATTCAAACCATGTAGATGTTTTCTATTTATTAAAATAGCTATATGTAGGGAAAAAATATTTCAATTCAATTTTTTTGATGTATACACGATATAAAAAATGGAACCTCAAAAACTTATAGTACAAACTTAAACAATTAAATTTATATATTATAATTCTTAGAATTCATATATATTAGTATATACCAACATATATAATTTTAATTCCTATAAATTCTGTATGACTTCTAAAAATACTTTTACTGAACTATATTCAAAGGAAAGTACTATGTACAAATATAAACAGTGTATTATACAATTTATTTCATATATACATAATAATCTTCAATGAGCATGATTTCAGAGTTGTATATATTGTTTTATAAAAATTATGACGTTACCAATGTGTCATTATATATCTGATACAAAATATACACCATTGAAATGTAGAGATTATATAAAAAGTGTTATAATGCTATATATACAGTAAGTTAAAAATTATTTAAATTTTGTTTATATTACTGTATGTATATATAATAATTTCTTACTTATAAATTAGTATGAATGCAAAAAAAACAGAAATTACTAATGAAAATTAAAGTACATGTATAAAAGAATAACACTAAATTTATTCATAGTGGTTCTACTCAATATTTATAATAATACGGATTAACATAATTTCAACTGTAAATTTTTTTTTTTTTTGAAATACTATATTTTGAATTAACAGATAGTTTTAATAATTTTTTTTTTTTTTCATACTAAAAATTATTTCATATATATATGAAGACATTTATAAAAAAAAAAAATCCTAATATATTTTTGTTCTCTTATTTACATTAATCTTTAAATTTATAATTTATTCATTGCTTATACTGAATATTAATATTTTTGATAATTATATAACATGTAATATTCGTCATCTCTTACTATACTGTTAGATATTTGGGGTCCATGAAATCTATTTATTTCTTCACCTATATGATTATACTTATTTCTTTTATATGATATTATGCTTTTCAAATATGAACTAAATGATGTGTACTGTTTTATATTAAAAAAATTTATGCATTAAAAATATATTTTTTTTCATGATAAAATTATTTATTTATAATTTATTCATAAATGTTCTTTTTAATACAGAAATATATAAATAATCAAATGGTTAACCTTATGTAAAATAAATAATGAAATAGTTATTAATGATGTTACAAAGAGTGTAATTATAATAGGAAATGCAATATTATTTTTGCATGACACTGCTGTTTCTGTTACACTTGTCATTTTTGTGTCACAAGTTACTGTTCCTTTTGTTTGTATTTTTTTATCATAATAATTTTTTAATGACATTGCTTTTTGAACAAATGTTGCATCCTTATTCAGATTGATAATCTTTCTCTTTTTAGCATAATTATGAATATCATGTATATCTTTTATTAATCGTAAATCCTCTATAATTTGAATTTTATATTTATTACACTTATGATCTGGAAGGCCATTTCCAAAAGATTCATATAATTTAAGCAGATTATCATAATTGTTTGTAATATCCTCTATATTATTTATATGTTTAAGATTATGAGACAACCAAAAATACAGATATATGCAGCTAGATTTTTCCAATGTGCTATTATCCATGGTTTGAATATCAACTAAATATAACATAGCTTCTGTGCATATGTTTTGTTTTTTAAGATTTTCATCATTTATTATTTCTAATCTCTTTTGCCTATGTTTTATATTACATACATCGCTATGCCAAGACCCGCCTGTTCCAGTATTAGCTTCATTTTTATAATTGTTCATAATTTCATTATATATCGGTAATAGGGGCAAAAATTTATACTGAACATAGAATAACAACCATATAATGATAAAATTATATTGAAATATGAACAATTTTATAATATTTATATAATATACAATACGTTAATAATAAAGTATTAAAATTTACATTAAAAAAATTTAAACGCACAATTGAATTCTCCATTGCATATAGGATTATATACTTTTAACGATAATTAAAAAAATTGTTAAAATATATGAATAAATTTAAATTTATTTTTATAAATAAGGATATGATCAATGAGGAATTAAACAATTATGCTTTTTAATTTCTGTATAATTTAAGTTACAATGTCTTCTAACTTTTAGACTATAATAAATTATAGCGCTGGTTAAAATATATTAGTAATTATGATATGTAAAGAGTATATATTCATATAATATTTAACAAAATAAGGCAATAAAAGAAGATAATATATATATATAAATAAAATTAAGACATATTGAGTGTTAACATATAGTATTAAATTCATCTTGCTATTTAAGCATTATGTAATTTTAGAAATGTTTTGGATAAATATAAAATATTTATAATGTTAATATGTGTTATTATAAATAATATACATATAAATTCATTTTTATTAAGATTGTTTATTTCAGTTTTTATATATGTATAATTAATATAATATGCTAATTTTTAATAATAGAATAATTTTCAATCAGCTTTGAGGATTTAGCAATTGCGTATTCAGAGAAAAAAACATTTATAAGCCTGTTAAAATGAATTGCACTAAATGATAGAATTTTAGTTAAATATTTATATATTATATATAATCCGTTATATATTTTATAAGTATTTATTTTGGACTAAGGTGCAATGTAAAATAATATATTTTAAGTGTATATAAATTAATCAAATATTTATTTTATAGTGAGTGATTATTCCTGAATAAATTATATATTATAATTTCTATACATATATAAATGTATTATAAGAAAAATGATTATATAGGTCATGTGTATTCAAATTTTTTATATATAGTGTTTTATGAAATATTCTTTAAATATCATGAGCTTTTATGTATAAAAAAATATATATGGCACAAATAATAATTCCTTGAATAATAAGCGTTCATTTATTGCTTCAATTTATCACAATTCTACAATATTTTTCTCCTTACGACATTTGTTTAAATTTTGCTCAATTTTTTTCTTGAAAATTATGTTAATTAAAATTACACAATATAATGTATAATGCGCCTTTGAGGAGAATCTATATAACACTTAATATTAATGCAATTTTGTGAATAAAAAAGTAATTTTCTATAAAACTTGGTAGTCATTCCTACGTTTGCTATACAATTAATTATATAATCTTAATGAATATATATATAAGAATTCTTTAATTATTTATTTTAGATGAACTGTATGTAATATAAGTGTATAATAGTTAAATACTTCTCACAACAAATTTTAATTATTTACAAAAAATGAATACAATATATTTTTTAAGTATATTTATTTAAACAATAATATGTTTATTTATTATTTATAATAGAAGAAATACAAGCTGTTTTATATTATTGAATATTTTATATTTTTTGTGATACGTTACAACACAAAAATATCCTTTATGCTTTATTATATATGTTTCAATTATATAAATGATAAGTATAAATGAAATATATTTTGAATTCAAAACAGATGACCATAATATTTCTAATAAATTGTATTTCATATAAATGAGTGTAATATATATTAATTTTAACTTGTATCAATAATTGTTATTATTAGAAACTCATAATATTAATTTATAAATAATAAATCATCCTAATATATTATATTAAGCGTGTATTAATGAAGTAAAATTTTCATTTTTTATTCTTAATGAAAAAAGCTATATTCAGATATAGCATAGTGTAACACATTCAAAAAAGAATACCTTATTATATTATTTATAAAATAAAAAATTAATTTAATATAATTATTATAAAATATATAATTCATATTCTGTAAATATCACACTATATGAAAGTAATTAATATTAGCATATATCAATAATTTCCATGTTATAATATTTATTATATTTGAAGAAGGAAAAGTAGTGATTGTAATGTTTCTGAATTTTTTTAGTGTATTCTATAAATACTTAATTTTTATAATAATAAAATATTTAATGTTATTTATAAATATATATCGTATTTTTGTACTTATCGTTCATAAATGATATTCCATTTTATATGAATGTACTAGTTTATTACATTATAACTTATATACGTGTTATACAATAGTATACATAATTATTATTATATTTTCTTTTTACTAATGTAACAAATAACGGACAAATCAAAAATATAATGCACTAACAAAAATTTTGTGATTAGTATTATATTATCTATTATGAAAATACATAAAATAATGAACTATTAAGAATATAAAATAATATACATATAATTATTTATAGGGAATGTGTTATATAAAAAAGCTAAAAGGTACATAAGCTCAGGAATTATTAGGAATGTTTTCTTCTCTTTCCAACTTTGAATATACGTCTCATATTAGTTGAAATCTTTTGTTAATATATTGTATTTATCTTAAAACCCGATTAAACGTTATACGAATATTCATATAATTTGAATAAGTATATAGACATACACAAATAATATACAATGCATTTAAATTTTTTTTTAATATTTTAAGAGTTAAAATATTTTTTTTCTCTATTCGCTCGTATCTATACCTAATAATAAAAGGTAAATAAGTAGTGTACGTGTATATTTTTGCAACAGTATAGAAAAAAAATATATGGTATTAATTTAATCAGATTTCTTTTAAAAACTTATATGATAATAGCTAAATTCCCTGGAGCATATATTAATATAATATCACAATAATTTGCTTCAATGTATATTTGCTTGTGCATAGAATTTTATATAAGAAAAAAAGAAAAACTCGATCTCGTGGAAGAAGAAAAAATATTATTTGGATTAAACAAGTATATTTATGATTATTACTCTAAGTATTATACGGTCTAAAATATGAAGAGTTGTTGAAAATATATAAATAAGGCTTAGGATAAATAGATTGGTATATTTTATGTAACTGCCTAAAATTATTACATATTATTAAAAATTTGTTAAAAAATAACAATTGGACGCACATATATATTCATCAGATATAATGGAATAAATATTGTTTTATGATAAAATTGTAATACAATAAAAAAATATATAAATTATTTATATTTTCTATGTTTAGTTATTATAAGGATATTCTTACTGTTTGTTTTTATAATGCAGTTACATACTTCCTAATAATATAAATATAAAACAAATCTATTATATAAATAAACTTCTTTAATTAATTATACTTAATAAAATAGTGCATATGTATATATTTTATATAATTATTATATATGCATAATTTGCTCATTATATTTTAATTCTCATTATTTTTTTCACTTACAATTTCAAAATTAAGCATAGGGCATATCTATAACACGTTTTTGGCACTATAATAATATTTACACGGATATAATATTCTCCTTATGCTTATGCGAATAATGTATGATATGTATAAATATAAAATATTTTAAAATAAATTATACTTAAAATTAGTAATGTTATTTCAATTTTTTAATATAGG